CACGCCGTCTTGCCGCTGCCAGTCCGTGCCATGGCCACCACGTCCTTGCCGTCCAGGATCACCGGGATGGCCTGCGGGGACAGGTGGGTGAAGTAGGGGTCTCCGTGAATGGGCAGGGCCGTCACCCAGTGCTGGTCCCATTCCTGCCAACAGCTGTTTGCACACCTCCAGGGATGGGCAGCTCACTACCCACAAGCCTCACCGCTATTGGAAACCCCTTCTTGCAGGAAAGCCAGACCCTGCCTCTTGGCCTGATCTTCCTCCTTGGACCCTGAGAGGGTCTGCGCTCAGCTAACGGTCTAGGCTCAACCCCAAGCCTGGAACTGCTGGACAGAAGCTGAGGTAGAGCTCCTGGCCCAGTCTCCAGGCTGCGGGGCCAGTTTCTCCACCTGCATATCAGGTGAGCTCAGGGGAGCGGGAGGAGGGGGTGGGGGTGGGGGGGCTTCAGCTGCAGCGACGGCGGCGGCGGGAGATGGGGCAGCAGGCACCAGAAGTGGCTGCTGCAAGGCCAGACCGGAGGGCCGAGTCTCTCACCCCTGCCCGCCCCGCCCATCTGCCGGGCCCTCACCTTCCTCTGGATGGGCGTCGGCACCTTGTAGCCCTTCTTCATGATGCCCTTGAACACCGGGTAGCTCAAGCCTGGGAGACACGGGAACGTCAGCTGGGGGGGCACCCGCATGGCATGGGGGCATCACAAGACAAAGGCCCGGGCCACTCAAGGCTTATACGGCTCACACGCCTGTCATCCCAGCACTCGAGAGGCTGAGGCAGGAAGGCCGACTTCCAGGCCAACCTGGGCTACACAGACCTCCTCTCAAAAAAAATCTTGGAAAGTGCTGAAGCAGAAACTAAAGATTAAGTGTGACCTAAGAGATAAAGTCTTCTGACGGCAAAGGATGAAGCTTACTGGGCTCTGGCTTGAACATTTTCAGTGTCGTACGATAACAGGGTCCCTGAATGACACTGAGGACTGTGCCCTTGTCCCTGCGGGGGAAGGTTCTGGATCTCAGGGACGCGGGGACATTTACAGGTGTGTCTCAGAGTGCCCCAGGGTGGGGGGGGGCAGCTGGGAGGGCATGAGACCCATCTATTTTCCCACATGCCCAAAATTCTTTGACAGCTAAAAAGAAAAAAAAAGCGATGCCAAGTTCCCCGGCTTGGCCCTGGGGAGTGGTGAGACGTGGTGCAGGGGTGCTCTAGAGGATGGAATCCGACTGGAGCCTGTGTTGCTGGACAGCTGGGCAAGCCAGGGGCCTTGGCCACTTTTCGGCTGGTCCTTCCTCTCTGGGGTGCGGAAGGCAAAATCCAGCCACGGTGGATGTCTTCATTTTTGTTTTTTTTTCAGGGAAGTTTAGCACATGGCTATTGGTCTGTCTATGAAAAGCTTCTGTGGAAGGACTTATCTGGATCATTTTTCACACAATTCTCCATCTTTTTTTCTTTTTTGGTTGTGAGACAGGGTCTCACTATGCATGTCAGGCTGGCCTTAAACTCACTATGTAGTTCAAGCTGGCCTCAAACTTGCGGTGATCCTCCTGCCTCAGCCTCCCGGGTGCTGGGACTACAGGTGTTTGCCAGGTTGTCTTTTTCTTATTCTTAGCGCTATAAAGTTCTTTGTGTGTGAGGGATGTTAACCCTGTCTTCCCCATGTAGCTTTTCACTTGCTTTACAGTGCTTCCTGGCATACACATGTCCAATTCAAAAGGAGTCAAACAAAACAGACTTTAGGTCACACCTGGAAAGGCCCCTTTTCCCTTCTGAGGCTATGAAAACATCACCTCGCCTTTCTGTACTTACACATTGACCCTGCGGCACTGGGTCAACCTCTCCACCACTGAGCTCCATCCCCAGCCCTTTTATTTTAAGACAAGGTCTCACTAAGTTACCTAGGCTGGACTCAAACTTGCAATCTTCCTGTCTCAGCCTCCTGAGTAGCTTCGATTATAGACAGGTGTGCACTACCACTCCCATTTCAGGTTTAAATCTGTCCCACCAGCTGGGGACTTGTAAAGCCATGTATAAGGCCCCGGGTGCTGCCTTGGCCTACCCACCCATGCCCCAGGGCTGAGCCAGAGGTGTCAGTAACTGGGTGCAGAGGCAGGCTGGTCTCCCCGCAGCGCCCTGTACCCAGGCCAGCCCGCTTACGTACCCATGGACTGGAAGCCCCCAGACTTCTTCTTCTTCTTGTTCTGTGCCCGCACCATCTCCCGCATGTCCAGCTCCGCGTCCGAGGTGCACTCCGTGGTGGGGAAGCTGGGCAGGGGTCGGCCAGGTCCCTGCTGGGTGGGAGGAGCAGAGAGGTGGTGTCACCATGGGGGGGGGGGCTGTGCTCCTGCCTGTCCTGCCCTTGGGCACAGTGACCACCTGCTTGGTCACCGGCTTCAACTGACTTCAGGATGGGCAGCTCGCGGCCTGCCCAAGGGACCTGCTTCAAAAGCCAGTCCCCACTCCCCCTTCCAGCTTTTGGCTGCTGGTCCCTTACAAGAATATAAATCCGGTCTTTGGGGGCTTTTCTGGGGACTACTAGGGATTGAATCCAGGGTCTCTGCACTGAGCTGCATCCTCAGCCCCTTTTAATTTTGGTGTAATATTAGTACATGGGTCGCCAAGTTGCTCGGGCTGGGCTCAAACTTATGATCCTCCTGCCTCAGCCTTCCGAGGGCTGGGATTACAGGTGAGGGCTGGGATTACAGGCATGCCCACAATGCCCCAGGTCACCACGCCAAGGCATCACCTGGCTATTGAGTATGGTAATATTTTTTACTCCTCTAGCTTGAGATAGGTGCTTATATAATTAATACAATCCTTTAAAAATTAATGTACATCAAATAACTTTCCTGTGACTACTGTTAAAGCATCTTTCCACTGGTACTTCTATTACCATTTTATAATTTTAATTAAGCATTATTATTTTTAAGTATTACATTACTTTAGGTACTAGTTGTTCTGTTTTTGTGGATCTGGAAATTGAGCCCACAGCCTTTTCACTGAGATACAACCCAGAATTTTAAAAACATTTTAATTTTAAGCCAGGGTCTCCTGATGTTGCTAAATTGCCCAGGCTGGGCTCAAACCTGTGATCTTCCTGTCTCAGCCTCCCAGAGTTTACAGGGATTACGGGGCCTTATGCATGCTAAACAGGTGCTCTACCACTGAACAACACCTCTAGCCCCTAAAAACATCTTTTTCTTAAAAAAAAAAAAAAAAAAAAAGATTTATTTGATCCTGGCAAACAAACATATAATATGCATATAAGGTCCATTTAAAAACACATCATCCAGGTGGGTGTGATGACGCACACTTGTAATCCCAGCACTCCAGAGGCTGAGGCAGGAGGATTACAGCAAATTCAAGGGTGGCCTGGGCTACACACTGAGTTCAAGGATAGACTCAACCCTTTCTCAAAATAAGTAAATAAATAAACAAAAATAAATAAACGCCCCCACCTCTCTCCTGTGCTAGGAGACTGAACGCAGGAGCACTCAACCACCGAGCCATATTCTCAGCCCTTACTATTTTTTGACAGGGTCTCACTAAATTGCCCAGGTGGGATTCAAACTTGTGAGCCCTCCTGCCTCAGCCTCCCTAGATGCCCAGATTACAGGTGTGGGCCACCACACCTATTTTTTGGTCTTTTTTTTTGAGGCAGGGTCTCACTATGCAGTTCAGGCTGGCCTTGAGCTCACTTTGCAGCCCCAGCTGGCCTCGAACTTGCACCGATCCTCCTGCCTCAGCCTCCGGAGGGCTGGGATGACAGGTGTGCACCCCCACGCCCGGTTCCCGACCACACCTATCTTAAACCTGTTCCCTTGGTCTCTGCTCTTCTACCTGTGCCACGGATCCCCAGTCCTCTCTCGGTGGTGAGAAGTCCCTTCTCCTATGTCCCAGACAGTGGAGGGCCTGGCCACAGCACCACCATCGGTCTGAGCCACACTTACAGTCTTTCCCGGCGCTCACTGCCTGTGCCTACCCGAGCTCTGGTCTGTGGCAGCTTCTCCACATCTAAGGCCACTAAGCCAGGCTGGGTGGGAGAGCGGTGGAGTAAGGTCTCAGGCTGTCCCTGCCGTGGGGTGTGGTCTTTTCCTGTCAACGCCCACTCACTCATTCAAGCCCACTCTGCGCCCTCCGCTGGACACAGGACAGTGGAGACTGCTGGGGCACGGCTCCTGCGCCACCTCGGTGCCCACACCTGTCTCCCTCACCCGTATACATTCTGCGCTCAGAAGCGGAAGTGGTACAGTAAATGCTCAGCACGTACAGCACACGTTTGCTATTAGCTTCTCAGAGGTCTGGGGCCTCACTGCCTGCAGCTCCAGGGTCCGGCTTCCCCTTAACGCCGGTTCCTAAGAACGCCCCAAACTCTCCAAGTCAGAGCTTCCGTATGCGCACTTCCCATTGGACGAACGGGCCCGGGAGGCGGGGGCAGCCAATGAGCGCGCGCGATCCGAGGCCGGCAGGAGGCCCACAGGCCGCAGAGCAGGGAGCCGAGGCTCGTCCGCGGACCCGGGTGCGACAGACCCCGGGACGCGTGCTCAGGCGGGCGGCCCCCAGCCCGTCCTCGCGCCCGCGGACTCTCCGCGCCCCACCTGGGGAGCCGAGGCCCCGGCGCGCGTCCCAGCCCCACGCTCCTACCTTCCGCGCGCGGGCGTCATCCTCCGCCTGAACCTCAAATCCGCCATCCTCCGAGTCGCTGGCGTGGCCCTGGGAGGCTGCGCCCCTGCGCTTCCGGAGCCTCTTCTTCTTCCACTGAGCCATGGCAGCTGGCGAACGGGGCCCGTCCGCCGCGCGTTTGCGGGCCGCCATGCGGGCCCCGGCGCTCGGAACCCGGAAGTGGGTGGGCCTTCGGGACGTACCAACTGCGCAGCGGCCGGGGGGGTGGAGACGCGTCCACGCGGCCTCGCTGCGCGCTCCTGGTCTGCCGCCCGGGAGGCCTGCACACTCATGTCCGATTGGCGCTAGAGGCCCTCCGCGTAGCTTTGGAGGACTGGTCGGCATCGAAGACGCAGCGTCCTCCCCACATCCCGCGGCACGAATGGTCCGGCCTGCATCCGCCTAGTTGCAACTAGTTGGTGGTTGCTGGATGCGCACGCCTAGCACGCGTCGCTAGAGCCCAGTGCTTGGGCTGAGTCCCCTTGAGCGGGTTCCCGGGGCCCTGGGCTTTCCAGGCTGTAGATTAGGACCTTGGATGAAGTGCACTCCGCGGGTGCCCATGCACCCCCGCCGAGGGGTCCAGACTTGGGGAGAAGGAGGCGCGGGGAGGGGATGCCGATGGTCGTACCCAACGCCTGCCAACCAACATGCTCAGGTAGGAAAATAACCCAAGAATGCAGGCATCGCAGAATGTGGGGAGGGCAGCAAACCCCAAAGAGCAGAGTGGTTAAGTGCACAAACTCTAGACCCCTGTTAGGTTCAAATTCCGCTTCCACGGTTTTAGCTTTATAGGCGTGACCCACACAGGACTTCACCTTTTGAAGCCTCAGATTTGTGATCCTTAAAATGGATATATTCAAAGCTACTTCCTGGGGCTGTTGAAGGTTAAATGGCACAATGCTTGCAAAGCTCAGTGCACGAGGTAGGCATGGGATCCATCGTGCTGTCATCACCCCACCCCGTACACCTGAATACACAACACACGGAACTGTCTCCCACCCACATACCGTGATTTATTTTCTTGGTGCCATCTGTCCTTCATCTCCGATTGGCGTTCTATTTGTTGCGCACACTGCTAGAAGTGCTTTTTAATTTATTCATTAGATGTTTGGCTGTAGGAACTCCTTTTCCCATCATGACAACTGAAAAAAATAGTCAAATTTCGAGAACGCCCCCGGCGCTGGCAGCTCCCGCTGGAAAAGGAACTAGACCCTCGGTCCTAGGCATGGAGGTGGGGGCGCCAGAGATGGCCCCTCCCCTGCCGCGGCCATCGGCTCAGAGGTGCCTCCCTGACGCCTTTCACAGGGAGCCCCCGAGACAGCCTGGCGGGCAGAGCGCCTGCGCTGTCACCCAAGGCCACACGCAGCGTGAAGCTCCCGGTGGAGCCGGCCGTCCGTGGGATGCAGGCCCTCCGCCTTCAGCACCCACGCCGGGGCGGCTGTCGGGTCAAGGCCAGGGCCTCGTATGTAGATGAGACGCTGTTTGGCAGCCTTGTGGGCACCCGGCCCACCTTACCAGAATTTGACCCACCCTGGGTGCAGAAGACTGACAGAACCAGAGGAGCGGGCGCCAGGGCGTTACAGAGTTCACCAGGCAAGGGGAGCCAGGAGACCGCCCCCTCTGAGGGCAGCACCCCAACCCTCACGCCGAGGAAGAAGAACAGATACCGGTGAGGTGTGGGGGGCGTGTTCCCTTACTCAGCACGTGCACCTGAGGTCCTGCTTCAGCCCTGCTTGCTGTTCCCTTACAGGGTGACTTTGGCCAAGCATGTTGACCTCTCTAAGCTGCAACTTATGTATGTGGAAAACCAGAAGAGAGATCTCTACATAGTAGGACTGTGGGTTATATGATAGTGTCTCGTACATACTGTGCGTGGCTGTCAGTCAGTATGGTGGTGATGACTGTGATGTTGGGTCCCCCATCACGTATGTCATAGGTGGTGTATCTGAGGCCCAGAAGGGTCAGGCGCCTTGCCCAGATCACTGAAATCTGTGTAAGATAATCCATGAAATGATAGAGCAGAGCTGTTTCTGCATATTAGCAAGTTTGGAGAATGGGTCTGACTGCATCTTCCTGACTAAAGTAGAAAACATGGGAGCTGATACTAAGGGTTATTTTTAGTTACTTAGAATTTGATTATTTGGATTATTTGAGACTAATATCAGCCTGGAGCGGGGTGTGGTGGTGCATGCCTGAAATCCCAGGTGCATGCCTGAGGTGGGAGGATTACCATGAGTTCGAGGCCAGCGCTACATAGTGAGTTCAAGGCCAGCCTGAACTGCATAGTGAGATGCTGTCTCAAAAACAAAACAAAAAGGAAAAGGAAAAAAAAAAAAAAATTCAACCCAGAGAGCAGGGTCTAGGGAAGAGCCACAGAACTCTGTCCTGGCATTGTTAGCAGTGACTTGGACAAAGACATAGAAAACTGGTATACAGGAGAGCGTGCACAGGCTACATGCAAACACTGATCTATTTAGACAAGGGGCTGCAGATTTTGGTCCTTGCTGGGCTCCTGGAACCAATCCCATGGATACAAAGGGATGGCTGTGGTTGAGACTCTCGGCGGCAGTGACAGTACATTTGGTCAAACTGGCTTCCATAGCTAAAGAGCATTTGGAATTTCTGTAATGGGTTCAAACTGTCATGGCGATGACCAGTCTCCATCTGCTGCTGTTTTTCTTCCCCCTGCGTGGCCTCGGTCTCCTGGAGGGTTGAGATGGCTTTGAGCTGATACCCCTATCAGTTTAGGAAGGAGCAGCCCAGGTGGCAAAAACATCCCTTGCCTAGTTTCATCAAAGATCCTAAGACAGGGCCAGGCATGGTGGCATGTGCCTGTAATCCCAGCATGCGGGAGGCTGAGGCAGAAGGATTGCCATGAGTTTGAGGCCAGCCTGGGCTACATAGTAAGCTCAAAAGTAGCTTGAACTATATAGCAAGACCCTGTCTTGAAAAATAAAAATAAAAATAAAAACCAAATAGAGATCCTAGGGGCTGGGGATATAGCTCAGTGGCATAAGCGCCTGCCTGGCAAGCATAAGGTCGTGAGTTCAATCCCCGGTACCAAAAAAACAAAACAAAACAAAACAGAGATCCTAAGGCAGACTCTTATTGGACAGACATGGGTCATGGTGCTTTTCCTGAGCCAATCAGTGTAGCCAGCAGGATGGAATATGTGAATTGGCCAGGCCTGGGGCACTTAGCGGGACTAGGGTCAGGGTGCCGAGGGACTGGACGTTTTGCAGGGGAAACAACAGAGATGGAGAGGGTGCTGCCTGAGAGCACTGGGGCCTTACTGTGGGTGCCAGGCTGGGGACGCTAAAGAAGGCAGCGCTCTTCTGCTCCTGTGGACGCCTGGCTGGGGCTGGGTGAGGGGTGCTGCCGAGCCCCCTGGGGCCATTCGGGTCTCAGCTCACCCGTGTGCTGCTCTTCCTCTCCCAGGCTGACCGGCCACACTCCGTCTTACTGTGACGAGTCCCTCTTTGGCTGTCGGCCCGAGGGTGCCAGCTGGGAGGCCTCTCGCCTGGCGAAGGGGGATGCTTCGAAGCTCCACAGCCTCTTCTGGACACCGCCTGCCACGCCCAGGGGCAGTGACTCTCCCCGCCCCAGGGAAGCCCCACTGCGCGCTGTTCATCCAGGCCATCCCTCCACGGCGCGGCCCCGAGGGGCAGCTGGCTCCCCCAGGCTGTCTCTGCGCAGCTCCGATGCCCCGCGCCCTCTGAGGCGGGGGCGCTCCCATTCCCTCACCTGCCTCAGCGTCCCCAGTGCTGGCCACCCAGTCGGTAGTGCCCCCCACACAAATGGACCTCAGGACCCCAGGCCTCCCCCAGCAGGGGTGACCTTCCGGACTCCCCTGGTGACTCCCAGGGCTCACTCACTCAGTGCTTCAGTGCCACCTACCCCCCGGCGAGGCAGGGCCCCCCAGATTCCAAGGCCCCCCTGGAGGTGAGCTGCCCTCACGGCTTTGTCTGTGGGGTCACGGGGAGGGATGCAGCCCCTGCTGGGGGCCTCTGGGGAAACCAGCGTCTCCTGGTCCCCATCATTGGAGAAGTCCCCCCGCACGGATAGGCTACACTTCCCCCTATCCTGACAATCTCTGCTTGTTCCTTGCCTTCTCCCTGCTGCATCTGCGAGCTGCTCCTGAGACACTCCCTCTGGCCTGGCCTGGCCACATGCAAACCAGCGCCAGTCCAGGGCCTCTGCCTCCCGTCGTCTGCTGGTCCTGTGTGATTTGCCAGCCAGGAGGAGTCCTTCCCTCCTCCCTCCCTTTGAGCCAACCTCCTGCTCAGGACTCAGGGTCCTCCTGAATCTGGAGGCATTAGAGGAGCTTTCTTTGAAATCTGTGTACTAGCTGGGTGTGGTGGCGCACGCCTGTAATCCCAGCACTTGGGAGGCTGAGGCAGGAGGATCGTTGCGCGTTCAAGACCAGCCTGGGCTACAAAGTGAGCTCAAGGCCAGCCTAAGCTGCATAGTGAGACCCTGTCTCAAAAAGACAAAAAAAAAAAAGAAATCTGTGTACTTATTTCCACATATTAAATGTATCTGCAGCTCATCAAAGCTGCAAGTGTTACTGATTTTGTTTGCCCTTATGGCCATGGTGAGACCTGAGCTTCCTGCTCGGCTGCAGCTGCTCCTGGAATCCCAGTCCTGCCCAGGTGATCTGGGCTTTGGGGTCCTTGCCTCCCTCCCCTGCGCACTAGATTCTAGGGAGCCGGGGGCGAAGCCTCAGCACTGGGTTGGTGCCTTAGTCCTAGGGAAGGGGAGGTGGACACCACTGGGGCGGGATCTGTGGCCATGGCCCGGGCCACACAACTGAAAGCCTGCAAGGGTCCAGTGGGCCACGAATGAAGCAGGTCAGCTACACTCAGTACAGACTTCGTGCTTTTTTGTTGTTGGGTTTTTGAGCTGCGTCTCACTACGGAGCTCGGGCTGTCCTTGAACTCTCAGTCATCCTGCCTCAGCCTCCCAAGAGCTGGGATTACAGGCATGTGCCGTCACATCCAGCGGATGCATTTTGAATGGGAAGGATGCTTTTCAACTGCCTAAAACTTTAACTAAGAGTTAGTCCACATCCCTCCCTCCTTCTTGGAATATCCACCTCCCATTCCCCCCCCCCCACACTGGTTTTCGGAGGTCCACCAGAAATGCCTTTCATCCCATCTCTACGTGCTCTAAGAAAGGGCTGTTGGCACCAGGCTCTGGTGTTGGGGTGGCACCTGGCAGTGGTGGGGACCAGGACAACTGCAGTCTGTCACCTAAGGGGTGTACCGCCTCTGGGCGCCTGGGCTTGGCAGCCTGAAACGCGGCTCCTTCGGTGCTATTTGCCCACCTCTGTGTCCCTGCGGGCCGCTCTGACCCACACCCTGCCGCCCTGGCGGGAGACTGGTCTGTCGCAGCCGTTACAGCTTGGGGCAGGGACAGAAGGGGCTGCAGCCCAGGTCTTGGTCCCTCCTGAGGTCCCAACCCTGGGATGGCTGCCCACAGCCCGGGGCAGAGAAAGGTTGAGTGGAAGTGTTCCTTTGAAGGCGCTGTAAACCTTTAAATTCTTTTAATTTGAAGAAACTCATTCAAGCTGTGAAAGGCAGGGCTCCGAGTTCGGTGCCTCGCTGGCCTGACCTCGACCCGGGCTGGGCCGGGCTCACTTCTTGCCCTTGCCCTTGCCGCGCTTCTTCCTCTTGGAGTGCAGCATGGAGCGCACCAGGTAGCCCTTCCACACGGCCTGGATGAGCGTGGCCGCCCGCACCATGCGCAGCATCTCGCGCTCCGCCTCCAGCCTCTTCTTGGCCATGACCTCCCGCTCAGCCTGGATCTGGCTGAACTCCTCCACCAGCACCTGGTGCCGCTGCCTCAGCTCCTCCAGCTGCTGCTTCTCGTCCTTGTGGACCGTCTGCAGGTCCTCAAACTCCTCCTGGCGGGGGGGTGGGCGGAGCAGGGCTCAGAGCGGCCCCTGCACCCCAGCCTTCCCAGGTGGACGCAGACGGGATCGGGGAGGTGCTGGCCCTGCTGCTCTGGGAGGAGCCAGCTGAACTCACTTTGGACAAGGACAGAACCCGGACGCGAGGGGACAGCTCCGCTGCACCCGAGGAGACCGCACCTTCCCGGCCTTTGTGATTTTCTCATTCCAAGCCAACGGCTGTTTCTGGGGTCACACGGCCTGGTGGAGGCAACGTACTGGACCCAGTGCACAGAGGGGGCCTGAGTGGCTGCAGCGGCCGAGGAAGCAGCGGGTTTGCAGGGCGCTGTTGCAGGCTGCCCCCAGGGTCTGTCCTCTGTCTAACGCAGCTCCCTGGCTCCCAGGCTTTCGTCCCTCCCTGCGCCTCTTTCTCTGTCCCCTCTCACAGCACCAGCAAGCACCTCGCAGCAGCACAGCACCTGGGAGCACACAGTGCTCGGTGGATCGGGTCCCCGCCAGCCACAACCCCCGGCCCTTACTGGGCTCTGCTTGTGGTGCCAGGCAGGTGTGGAACCCAGGGCCTTGGCTGTAGCCAGGGCCCCCAGCTCGGGCTCATGGTCACCAGTACTACCTAGAGCAGGTCGGGGGCCCAGGAGCTCCCCTATTTGTAAGCTACCGCTCCTGCCTACAGCCACTTACACCAAACCCCATCCTGACCCAAGACAGACAGCAGTGCCTGTCCCGACCAGAGAGGGTCAGGCCTGACTCAAAGTCACACAGCTGGTGTCACAAGACTGGCATCTTGGAGGGTAAGGGGGACTTCCGTTTCCTCACACCTGGCCCCCTCGACCCTGAGAGACCATGGAGTGGTAGAGGTGGGGGTTCTGAGCAGGTGGGAGCGCTGGGGGGTCAGGGGAGAGTGGGATGTGGCAGAGCCGGAGCCAAGGCCCTGGAGGACACGGCCACCCAGCCGTTTTTTCCCTTCCGCTGTTCCCCTCCTGCCCGGGCTGGGGCACCCTGAGCCTGCTGCAGGGTCCTGGGGGAGGCTGAAAATGTGGACCAGACCGAGGACATCTGGGGCTCCCACCGCCAGGCCTCCAGGTCTTGGAAAACGATGAGAAAGAGACTTAGCAACAAGTACCTGCTTTTCACCCATCTCTGTGTCGTATTTCTGGATCCAGTTCTCGACTTCTGTCTCCACTTTATATTTTTTCTAAAACAAAATCCAAATAGTTGTTGTCTGGTGGGGTAACATAAATAGTGACCAGCACCGAGCACTGTGTATCATGGGTTCAGCAGCCAGTGCTCTGCCTGCCCCACCACCTGGAGGAGTCCTCAGTTGCCCATTTCACAGATGAGGAAACGGGCACAGACATGCTAACTCACTTGCCCAAGGTGATAGGGCTCATGGGTGGTGGAACCTGGATTTGAGTCAGCAGTGTAGGTCCAGAACATTCTAGGCAGAGGAAGTGGCATGTGCAAAGGCCCTGAGGTGGGAACAGGCTAGTAGTGATTAAAGAACAGAAATCAGCTGGACATGGTGGTACACGCCTGTAATCTCAGAACTTGGCAGTCTGAGGCAGGAGGATCACTGTGATTTGAGGCCAGCCCAGACTACATAGCAAGACTGTTTAAAAAGGAAGGAAGGTGGGGAGGAATCAGCCAGGTTATAGAGAGCCCTTCCCAGTCCTCCTCCTGGCCCAGGAAGATTACATTTGCAATCCCATGAAAAGTTTTTGGAATTCTAGTGAGTTAATTCCAATCTATCACTTCCAGTGCAACCCATGGCGAGAATAAAGACACTAAGGCATATTTTATGGGGAGCTGAGGGGTCCTAAGTCCAGTCATGATGATGGCTATCTGGAACAAAGGCCTCGACCCAGGGCCAAACCTTTATTCATTCATGAAGAAGGGAGTGGCTGGAGGACGAGTGACTGTGAGAACTGTGGGAAGGAGGTGAGCGCCGTGAGCTGGGCCAGGTAGGAGGCCTGAATCACCTCCGCCAATGCAGAGAGGAGGATCTGCAGGAAGAGTACTCTGCGTAACACAGTTCAGACAGTATCTAATGCTTTGGGGTCAGTGCTTCAGCTCTGATGTGTAATCTTTCAAGCCCCAGGAAGTCACGGCCTCTATCCCAAGGCTCCATTCCAGCCAACAGTGTGGACCACTGGCTCACACATCCCGCCTCACCCCAGCTCACTCATGGGAACACCGGGGTCCGGGGAAATACGCTTGCCATATTCAAAGCCTCGGCTAGACCAATATGCATTGCTTAAAGCCAGCTGATGGGATAAGGAAACGGTGCTAGCCAGCTCTGTACATATCAGTACATGGAAATAGGGTCAGGCTCAGCCAAAATGGAGGCAATTGCTCCTCTTCCAAGGAGAGTCACCTAGGTGTCCTCCACACCAGGTTAAATATCAACGGATTCTCTTATATGAGAAACCCGAAGTATACATAATTTAAAGAGCAAAATAAAAGGTAGATGATAGGAAATGAGCAGGCAGACTTTGTGGAACTGAGAAGGGAATAAGGACAGATGGGGGAGGGGAGAGGAAGAGGAAGTAACGGATCAAAATGTCATATGTTGCTGTGTGTGGTGGTGCACCTCTATAATCCCAGCACTCGGGAGGCTGAGGCAGGAGGATCGCCATGAGTTCTGGGCCAGCCTGGGCTCCATAGTGAGATCAAGGCCAGCCTGGGCTCCATAGTGAGATCAAGGCCAGCCTGAACTACACAGTGAGAACTTACCACAGAGCAGGGGTTCTTAACCTGTGGGTGGGCTGCTTCGGGGCTGTGACCCCCAGCACTGCCCATCAGGATGAGCGAGGGTATCTACACCTTCCATCTGAGGGAAGGGCCATGACTTCCATCAGATGCTCAAAAAAGGCCTGTGGTGGTGGGGGGAAAGGCCTTCAGTGAGATGCGCGTTAAGAAGGGACCCTGGGGGAGTGAAAGCTCGAGAAGCGGGATGTGTGCTGGTCCTGGGCTGGCCTCGATGACGACGGAGCCGGGAAGTGACTAAGTGATGTTTACTGAGCACCTACTACAACCACCCCATCACCTCCACTCGTCACCACCAGCTTCCTCCTTCACACAGCCAGGCTGTGAATATGGAAGCTCAGAGATCTGAGCTCAGTTTGCCTGAGGTTCATGGCTACTTTGATCCTCTGCATCCAAGACCGTGGGGACTGTCACCACTGCGGGGTCAGAGGAGCTGTGGTCAAAGAGCCAGCACGTGGCAATGCTGAAAAAGGACCGTGTCTGTCCTCCTGCCCCCAGCTCTGGCTTCCCTGCCCTGGGCCAGCCCTGCTTGGCCCAGCCCCGCTGGTCCCCTGGGGGACAGGACATCTCCCCCTCCCGCCCCACCCCACCCCACGCCCGGCCTCCCGGCCTCACACCTTGCGCAGCGCCTGCTCCACCTCGTGGTTCTCGGACACCAGGCTGTGGTACTGCGAGCGCAGCGTCAGGATCTCCTGCTGCGTCTTGGCCATCCTGACCTGCGAGGCGCGGAAGTCCAGCTTCTGCTGCTTCTCAGCCTCCTGCTTGGTGCGCAGCAGGCTGTGCTCCGAGAGCTTGAGCACCTGATGCAGGTGGTTCTTCAGCTCCTGGATCACAAAGTTCTCCTTCTCCACCTGAGGTGGGGGGGCTTTATTAACTGCTGCCCAATCACCCACCGTCCCAGGGGCCACGCTGCCCGCCACCTGCGTGACTCCTGAACACAGAGGGAAACTGAGGCCCAAGGAGGCCGAGGGGACAGTCTGGGGTCGTGAAGCCAGATGTGTCTGAACCAGAGCCTGTGTTCCCGGCCACCCTTCACAGGTCTGGGACAGCCCTGATGCTCCTCTCCTTCCGCTCTGCCCCCCCCCGCCCATGAAGCAGGAAGGCATGGGATCAACACTGCCAGGATCGCCCTGGGGCTATTCCCTGCCAGCCAGTCCCTGGCTCCTGCCCTGTCCTGGGCTGATTCTAAAACGAGTTGGGTGGGAGGATGGTGCTGTTTTGTTGTTTAGGAGTCTTTTTTTCTTCTGGTACTGAGGAATGAATCTAGGGCCTCTGCCCTGAGCGACATCCCGGCCCTTTTTATTTATTTTGAGACAGGGTCTCTGGGCTAAGTGACTCAGGCTGGGCTTGAACGTTCAATCTTCTTCCCTCAGCCTCCCGAGGGCCGGAATTAGAAGTGTGAGCCACCAGGCCCGGCTTGCGGATGGCACTTGTTATAAGCAGGCTCCAAAGGCTTCTCACAGACCCTGTGGCCTCTCTGAACACCCTGGAGCAGTGGCTGGCGTTGGCGGAAAGCAGGGCCATGGGGCTCTGAATGCATTTCCGGCACACAGCGGCAGGGCCGTCCTGTGGATGAGGCTTGCGCGCAGGCGCTGGGCCTCGCCTTGGGCAGGGCCCTTAGAAGTCAGAGCTTTTCTTGCCAAATCCCCAGGGCGCACGTGGGCAGTTTCATCCTTTATTCTACACTGAGCCTCAATGCCACGATGAGGTTCCCCCAGCTGGAAGGGCGGGTTCCGCTTGCAGAGCCCAAGCTTCAAGTCATGGCGCTCGACCCGCCCTCATCGGTGTCCCCTCCAGCCTTACATGTGACCTGGGGAAGCACCCCGGGGCCTGTCATCTGCCCACAACACAAACATGTCACACCCCTCTTTGTGCTGGGCTCACTGGGAACGGGGCCCTGTTTTCTTGTTGAGGAACCAGACCTAAATCAAATAATCATACAATGCTGAGCGTGGGGGAGCACACCTATAACCCCAGCACAATGGGAGGCTGAGGCAGGAGGATTTTAAGAGTCCAGCATGGGCAACTTAGTGAGCCCTTGTCTCAGAAAGGCTGGAGATATAATTCAGTGCACGGGCCCTAGGTTTAGTCTCCAGTACCCCCCCACACTAATAATAATCACACAAGTAATTTATTAACAAACTCTGACAACTGTCTCAGAGAGAACTATCCAAGGTGGGTGGTTGGTTGGTGGCACATAGCTTCCGAGGGCCTTGTATCTCTCCTATGTCTGGCGTGATGAAGATGGGGAGAGTCTGTGGCCACCCAGCCCTCTTCCAGCCCCGACCTGCTCTCCTTGGGTCCAGGGTTTGGCTGGGAAGGTGGCCCCAGCCTTGGGCTACTTTTCCCAGCGTCCCTCTCGGCCGGGTGTGGCCAAGACACCCACGGAAGTGCTGCCTGCGGCCTCCAGGTGGCGCCCTCACAGGCCAACATGGGAACGGCAGAGAAGCCAAGCTGGAGAACTCAGATCCAAACAACCAGAGACACGGCTGCCCAGCGCCGGCTTTTCCATTACAAAGACACATATTTAAGGCAGAACACACCATATATGTCTGCAGTTTTTATCAGGCTTGACGTCAGGCTACCACTTCCCTCAAAAAATTCTGGCAGGCTGGAGGTAGCTCAGTTCAGGCCGTACCGCTGAAAAAAATCTAGTGGTCACCCTTCCGGCTGACTCCTTGCTCTCAGGACAAACACCAAATCTACGCTAGGACACAAGGCCCCGTGTGATCTGTCCCCTGCCCTCTACCCAGCCCCATCTTTCTCCTTCCTTTTGCTGAGGTATGGTGGGGTTTTGTTTCTTTGTGTGTGAGATGCTGGAGAGTAAAGCCAGGGGCACTCTACCACTGAGCTACATTGCTAGGCCTTTTTACTTTTACTGTGGGACAAGGTATTTTGCTAAGTTGCCCAGTCAGGGCTTGACCTTGGGATCTTCTTGCCTCAGTCTCCCAGGGTGCTCAGATTACAGGCATGTGCCACTATACCCGGCTACAAATAAAGTTTTATTGGAACACAGCCCATTCGTTTACATATTGTTTATGGCTGCTTCACTCGGTAATGGCAGGGTTGCATTGTGTAGCTGACTACACAACCCACAGAGCCTCATGTACAGTCTACATTGTCCTCTGTAGAACAGAGTCTGTCAAATCCTGGCCTGGGAGTTCAGTTCCCCTTGTCCCTCTTAGCCAGTTTACTCCCTCTCAGTCTTTGTGCCTTGGCTTCAAGTTCCCTGGCCCTTTGGGTCCCCATTCAGTTCTCTTGTACCATTTTCTTCTAGCCTGTATCGCTCTCTTCTAGTACCCTGTACTTACCCTTTATTATACTTCTCAAAACTGTAATTGAGTTCTTTAATACCTTTCTCCTCCACTGTAAACTGTGAGGGTGAAACCATGAGGGTTTATTTACAAGACTCGTCCCCCAGGAAGTGCTTTGTGGAATAAATGGATGGAACGGAGCTATTTCAATCACTGAAAAGTTCCCAGCCACCAAAGATGCGGGCCATGGAGCGTGGCTGCTCCTCGAATGACTGAACCGGTGCTGGGTGCCATACCTCTGCGTCCCTGTTCTTCAGCCTCACCGCCAGTTCTCTCTTGAGCGTGTCAATGTCCTCCTGGTTCCTCTGGTTCCGTCTGCTGATGTCCTGCAAGAACTGGGCCTTCTCCCGTACCTGCATGGGGCTGGTGAGCAGCTTCTCGAACAGGAAGCCCCGCAGCTCCACCAGGCCCTCCATAAAGCGCTGGGCCCCTGTGCTTCTGTGAAACGCCTGCATCTGCAGGAGCTTGGTAGCCTGGGGGTTGCCAAGCAAGAGCCTCAGGGTGTTCTTGGTGGAGTCCCTGACCTGCTGCATGAGTGGTGGGAGGCTGACTTTGTGCAGCTCCATAGACAGGCGGCGGTCGCAGAGCCAGGCCTCCTCAGCCTCCTCCTCCTCCTCCTGCAGCCGCCGCGCCTTCTCCTGCAGGTCACTCACGCTCTCCAGCAGGGCCTGGCAGAGGGCCCTGTGCTCGCTCAGTGCTCCCAAGAGGCCTTCACACATCCCCACCAGGGCCTCCGGATGGCCCGCCGCGTCCCACAGCAGGGTGACCAGCTCCACCTTGAAGATGGCCTCATCCAGCACAGACACGATCCTCTTGGCCTCAATGGTGATGAGTTTGGACTTCGAGGGGACCAAGGGTTTCAGCGGCTCGGCCTGCTTTGGAGACAGCTCTATCTTCAGCGGGATTCGGCTGACGTCAGGGGCTTGGCAGAGGGGGGCCAAGGCCGGGGTGTCCCTGGCCATGTGGGGGGCAGTCATGTCTGTGTGCCCTCTTGATGTGCTTTCTGTCCCCAGCAACCCTGTGAAGGAAGGAGAGGGCATGAGCACCACGCTGACGTCCCCATGGCTAGTGTCACCAAGACAGCCGCACTGTTGACAGTGAGAGTCATCTCTGGCACACTGCGCTCTCGCTCAGAACCTTTCCCTGAGAGCAGCTTTTAGTCTGGTGACAGCATTTGGGCCACTAAGGCAGGAAGACCAAGGGTCCCAGGCACAGGTGTCAGGCAGGAAGCATCCACGAGCATGGAACCCAGGGCGGCCTCTCTGCTACCTCACTGCCACCCTGAGGACTTACACAGCGATCGGGCTGCACAGGGCACCGAGAGTTGACAGGCCGACCGAATATGGGAAGGTGAGATCGACCAGCAATGCTCAGAGGCAGGAAGCCACCGTCTAAGGAGGAGGTGGCGAGCAGGGCCTGACAGAGCCCAAAGCTGAGGAGCGGAGACACCCGGGCCCCTCCCCTTGCCCCCTGCTCTGTCGGTGCCTCTTATTGGCTGGAGCCGAGGGACAAAGGACATGGGGCCTTGCAGCCTGCAGAGGTCAGCAGTCCACCACAGAGAGCAGGACAGGGAGGGGGCACACAGGACGAGGAACAGCAGGTTGTCACTGAGGTTATTTTTTTTATTTTTTATTTTTTTGCTTTTTCTCCGGTACCGGGAACTGAACTCACGACCTTGCGCTTGCCAGGCAGACGCTTTGCCGCTGAGCTAAATCCCCAGCCCCATCACTGAGTTTTGAGTGTTAATTTAAGAAAGTAGTGGTGGAACTGGGAGTGGTGGCGCACACCTGTAATCCCAGCGCTTGAGAAGCTGAGGCAGGAGGATCACCATGAGTTTGAGGCCAGCTGGGACTACATAGTGAATTCAAGCCCATTCTGGTCTATACAGCGACACTCTGCCTCAAGAAAGAAAAAAAAACAACCCTCAAACACACACACACACACACACACACACACACACACACACACGCACACTTTTCTGAAATTTCAACATTATACATTGGATTGGATCCTGGAATGGAAAAATGACATCAGTGGGACAACCCGAGAAATCACACAGCGTGGCGATCATCTAAAGCAGCACTGCTGTGGTGACAACAGACTGTTTTCACAAGATGTGGACGTTAGGGGGCGCTGAGTGTAGGGCACACAACAGAAAGCGGGCCGTGCTGGCGGTTTTTCTGTGAGCCTGCAATTATTATGAAATAATAAGCTTGTGAAAAAGACAACTTTATAAAAATCCAGTGACATAAATCACGAATTTATGTGGGCTCTGTAGCACGTGGGCAAGAGCAGAAGCTTCGCAGCGGCCCCACGCGGGTGCCAGTTCTGGCGGTGATGTGACTCTGGCTGGGTATTTAGACCCCCAGCCTGGGCTGCCTCGGCTGTGACACAGGAACGCGCAGGATCGCTGGGAAGTTCCTAGCACAAGAGCTAGACGCTGAGTGCTCCGTAAACACTGATCACCAGCCCAGGGGGACAGAAACCTCAGTTCCAGGACTTGGTTTGTGGTGCACCCGTGGATGGTCAACAGCTCAGGATCGGGGTCTCCTGATGCAACCCCACCTCGGCCTGCCCTCTCCATCCCTGCCCCTCACCTGCCGACTCGCCTCCGGGTGAGGCACCACCATCAACGTCTCTAGACTGAACTTCTCTAGCACCTGTGCTTCCTGAGCAGGCCCCAGTGAGAGCAAGGCCTTATCCACTTTGATCGCTACTATTTACAGGGGGCTGCAAAACCAGCCATCATCCTGGAAAGACTTCTGCTGCTGCCTCCTATAGGTCACGGTGGAGGTGAACCTGATTGTGTCAACCAGACCGTCCTGGTGGGGCACACTTCTGGGTGTGTCTGGGATGGTCATGGAGCTGTGACCTTGGAGATGAATCTGGCCCATGCCCCCTTCTCCTCTGACACTGCTCCCTGCTCTGCTTCCTGGCTGCCAGAAAGTAATCAGCTCTGCTCCACCACATCCTTCTGCCACGATGGGTCTGTCTCAGAGCCAGCTGTCCATGGACTGAACCCCCCTGAAATCACAAGCCAAATTCACCTTCTCCTTTAAACTGTGGGTTTTGGGTATTGTGTTTCAGCAACAGGAAATCTGACTAGTACAGTTACTCGTGCCATTTTTTGTTTCATTGTGGATGTGAGAAATGATTTATGTTTACTTGTTATTTTTTGTTTTTCTGAGGTAGTCTCACTATGTGGTTCAGGCTGAACTTACTATGTAGCCCAGGCTGGCCTTGAACTCAGCAATCCTCCTGCCTCAGCCTCTCAAGTGCTAGAATTACAGGTGTGTGTCATATTTCTCCTTGAGAAATGTTTTAAAGAAAGAGCCACTAGGGTTCAATGAATGACACAGTTCTGAGTCTGGGTGACTGGGAGAGAAGGGTGGGGCCCTTGAGAATCCTAGCCAGTGGGGAGAGGAACTTTGGAAGGAGGATGAAGAGTTCAGTTTCAAACTCCTCGCGCTCTGGCTGCCATGCCTGGAGTGCAGTGGGCAATGACGCCTTGGCCTTCTGTGACCTATAGGAGGGGAGTCACAGTCTGCAGTAGGTGACAGCACCCGAGTTTTGAGGAATGCTTCCTTACTCCTCTTGTTCTCCAAAGCCCATGTGCTGAGCACTTAGGCCCAGCCTGGGGTGGTACAGAGAGGGGGTGGGCTCCTCAGGAGGTGGGGCCTAGTGAAGGGGAGTGTAGTCGCCAGGGGTCAAGTCCATGGAGGGGATAATGGGACCCTGAGCCCTCATTCCTGGTCATTCCTATTGAGCAGTTTCCTCTACCATGAGCTTCCGCCATGCTTCTGCTTCCCGGCAGGGCCAAAGAACCAGCTGATCACGGACTGAGACCCTGAAACTGTGAGCCAACCTTTCCTGCTTCTAAGCTGTTCACCTCAGGTACCCTGTCACAGTGATGGAAAGCTGACACAGCAGTCTCTGTGGCTCTGTCAGTCAAAGAGCTCTGCCCGTTTTTCTCCTGAAGAGGGGACACACGCGTGGGAATGCTTCAGGCTGCTCCTGAAGATCCTGCTACCCAGATGTCCAGAATGTTTTGGCTCCTGTCCACTCTGAGGCTGGTTCTTTGGCATTCCCTTCAACCTTTGCTTAGCCAGGGTCAGCTTCTCTTGCTTGCAATCAGAGACCTGAGCTGATGAAATATCACAGGCCACCAGCAACCTGTGAGCAGAGACTACCTGGGATGGAAATGTAAATGCAAGCGAGAAGGAAGGGATATTTAAAGCCACAAAAGATGATCTTCAAACCAAGTGTGGTGGCACCATCTGCAATCCTATCACTTGGGAGGCTGAGGCAGGTGGATTTTAAACTCAAGGCAGGCCTGTCCTACATAGCGGGACTCTGTCTCAAGAAAAGCCAAACAAACCTAATAAAAAGATTAACTTCAGTTCACCAAACAGAAGAGTAAATGTGGAGAAGGAAAGGAAATTTTAAAAAAAGATTCAGGGTAGTCAGGCATGGTGGCCATTGCGATAATCCCAGTACTCTAGGAGGCTGAGGCAGGAGGATCATAAATTTTATCCCGGCTGGACAACTGGGCAGCTTAGTGAGACCTTGTCTCAAAGTAAAGAAATGGCTGAGGACCTACCTCAGGGCAAAGGCCTTGGGTTCAAACCCTAGCACCACAAAAAACTAAAACAAAACCAGCAAACATCAGGTGCTACCGTTGCTTCAGTTCCTTGTTGAGGCTAAAATGGGTCCCAAATCAGAAGCCCCCTTGGGAGCCGAGGACGGAGGCCAAGGAGGGCATCATCTTGCGCAGGTCCCTTGACTTCTGCTCTCAGTCGGGGTTGTGTGTCCCTTTGCAGCTTTTCCTGAAGATAAAGTTCTCCAGGAGGCCGAGGAGCTTGGGCGGGGCCTCTCTGGGAAAGAAGGATCTTCACCCGAGGCCCCAGGACAAAGGTGAACCAAGCGTTTCATGAACGACCGTCCCACTGTCCCTGCAGCTCTCCGGCATAAATCAAAACGCTACACTCCTCCGGGAAGCGGCCACGGAGGCAACGTTTTCAGAAATGTTTCCAATTTGCTTTCAGCCAAATTACCTCTTTTGCTTTAAAGGGCAAACTTGTTTTCTTTGATTATGATGCCGCCCATCAATTCTTGACAGTTCATTTGCGTGAACAAGAAAAGCCTGCGGAGTCGGGGTTGGGGCGGGGGAAACGCGTCTGACTCCACGGACAAAAATCAGCAAAGTCTCTTTTCCTTGAATTCTAATACAATCATTGCACGTCCTTTGTAATACTGAAGTCACTGCCAACTTCAGCCTCCCCTTTTAAAATTCCTGCCCTGACCCAGCAGCAGGGTAGTTAATGGATGGGGCACTTTAATTGGATCTTCCCTTTATTTGTCATTAATTCTGCTGATGAACTTTATAAATGGAAATATATCTTTATCATGCAAATTATACCTCCTCATCATTCAAATAGGCCCGTTGGATATTTTATTACTTTGCTCACAGAACATTTTGAAGAGGAAAAAAAAAAAAAGGAAGACAAGAAAAAGATTTGAGGTCAATGATTTTTTTTTTTTTTCCTCAGAGAGAAAAAAAGAGAAGAAACCCCAACACCCATGACACTGGTACACAGGAAAGCAGGAGGTTTTCAAAGACGAAAACAGTTGAGTGCTGTCAGATGCGGCAGCGTATGTTTGTGATCCCAGTACTAGGGAGGCTGAGGCAGGAGGATAATGAGTCCAAGGTCAATATATGGGTTACATGGAGCCAGCCTGGACTACATAGTGAGATGCTATCTCAAACAAAAGAAAAACATAAATAAACAACAACAAAAAACCCAAATAACAGTCGGGCGCAGTGATGCATGCGTGTAATCTCAGCTACTTGGGAGGCTGAGGCAGAAGGATCCCAAGATCAAGGCCAGCCTGGACAGCTTAGTGAGATTGCCTCAAAGAAATAAAAAGGGCTGGGGTGTAGCTCAGTGCTACAGTGCTTGCCTCGCATGTGTGAAGTCCTGGGTTTAATTCCAAGTACAGCAAGAAAACAAAAACACA